CTGGAGAGAACTCTGTTAACCTGCCTGAAGGCATCATGGAAGGCTTCCCAAGTACAGGCACCCTGCAGTGTCCTTACTCAAGAGCTGTCCTAATGATATGTGATATTTGGTTGGCTTCTTTTTAAATTGAACTTACTTGTTGAGGTGATTTCCTTGGACATTAAAAATAATAACCTGTTTCATATAACAGCAATGTACTGTTTGCAAAGTACTTTCCCATGCACTATGTCAGTCCGCATAACAACCCTGGGAGGTGGACAGGTTTTATTGCTTTTTTTTTTTCTCTGTTGTGGCTGAGCTGTGAAAGCTTACAGGGGCAAAGTCACTGTGTCAGAGTCTCTGAGTGGGGCATGGTGGGTTGGGGCTTGAGTCGGGGTCTTGCTAGTCCATGCTTCGTGCCTTGGCCACCACACCTTCCCTGTGTTTCCTTTGAGTACTTCGGACCCCTCATCTTAGAGCAGCCATTTGGACCATTTCCCCCTGCAGATGCATGGCACATAGGCTTGCTCATATCAAAGCTTATTTGCCACCTTTATCTTCAGTCACTTGAAATGCTTTCTGTTCATAGAGAAGCTTTATGAAGAAAATCATTCACAAAAGACAGAAATGTGAATTGTGCTTTCATCAGCATTAAGTGTGAAATTTCATTTTGCAAAATCCCCAGGGGGACTTGAACTTTCTCTTTGGGCCATTAGAAGAGGGACCGGAACATCAATTCCTTAAACACAGATTTGCTCAAAGAATATTTAACAGCTTCAGTTCTGGTTGAACGTGACCATTTTGCAAGTTTGTTTTTAGTTCTCTTTTGGTCAAGAGGGAAAAGATTTCAGGTCCACCCAGGTGTATACTCTGGGGGAGGAACTTTTTTTGTGACAAAGATGGTAGCATGTAGGGTAGGTTAGTTACATGATTCATCTGTAACTAGTAAATAAGACTATAATGATCTTCAAAAAGGCATCTGTAGTGCTTAAGTGTATGGGCCTTGGAATTGGGCAGACCTGGATTTGATCCTGCCTCTGCCCTTACCATATCTCTGTGACCTTGGGAAAGTTATTTACTCTCCTAATGCTTGGTGCCCTCATTTGCAAATAGGGTTAATAGTAGCACCTATATCATAACCTTTATCATAGTTTTAATAGTAGCACCTTTATTGTGTTTTGTGGATTAAATAAGGTAATACATATAAAGTGTTTAACCCATAGACATAGGAGTAAGCATTACCAAATGCTAATGTAGTGATGATGATGATGACATGCATTTGAGTGACTGCTGTTTGTGAGTTCATTCATTCATGAAACATTACTGCAGGCATTGCTAACACTGGTATCTGAGAACAACTAGGAGCTGTAGGGAGTCTTTGAATCTCCTAAGCTCGTGTGGAAGATTTTGTGCATATGTGTGCTTTTCAGGCAAGAATCTCAAAGGATGTATGACCCCAGAAAGGTTAAAAACAAAGCCTACAGTGTGCTGAAGACTTGGTATTAGGGCTACACTGATGATCCTGGGACTCTCCTTGTACTTAAAGAGTTTGCAAAGTGGCCAGGCTGACAGATGAATAAAAATGTTGCAGAATGGCCTGTGATGGGTCTAGTGACAGATGCCACAGACAAAGAGAGCTGAGGGTTCATCATGGAGGTGGGAGTGGGTGGGCAAGCCCAGCCAGAAGATCCCAGGTGGAAGGATGACATGAAGAAACCCAGGCCACCAATCAAGTGCTGTGTCCTTAAAGGATTGAAAGTAGTCACAGTGACAGTGCAAGTGCCCAAGAAGTAAGAGGCCCAACTTGAGGTGGACAGGCTGGCAGAGGGGAATCTGTGACTTTACCATTTTGCATTTCCACCAGAAAGGAATGAGAGTTCCTGTTGCTCGATGTCCTAGCCAACATTTGGTGTGGTCAGTGTTTTGGATGTTGGCCATTCTAATAGGTGTCTGGTGGTAATTCATTGTTATTTTATATACTATTTGGTTACCGTAGCTTTGTTACAGTTTTGACATCAGGAAATGTGAGACCTCCAGGCTGGACACAGTGGCTCACGCCTTTAATCCCAGTACTTTGGGAGGCTGAGGTGGGTGGATCACCTGAGGTGTCAGGAGCTCAAGATCAGCCTGGCCCACATGGCAAAACCCAGCCTCTACTAAAAACACAAAAATTAGCCAGGTGTGCTGGCGGGTGCCTGTAATCCCAGCCACTTGGGAGGCTGAGGTGGAAGAATCGCTTGAGCCCGGGAGGCAGAGGTTGTAGTAGGAGCTGCAATTGCACCACTGCACTCCAGCCTGGAAGAAGACTCTGTCTCAAAAAAAAAAAAAAAAAAAAAAAAAAAAAGAAGTGTGGGACCTCCACCTGGTTCTTTTTTTTTTTTTTTTCCAAGATTGTTTTGACTATTTGGGGGTCCCTTGTAATTCCATATGAATTTTAGGATGAATTTTTTAATTCTGAAAAAAAGTTATTGGGATTTTGGTAGAGACTGCATTGCATCTGTAGATCATTTTGGGTTGTGTTGACATCTTGACAATATTAACTCTTCCAGTCTATGAGCATAGGATATCTTCTTGTTTATTTTTATTAATATGTTCTTTAATTTCTTTTACAAATACTTTATAATTTTCAGTGTATAAATCTTTCACCTCTTTGGTTAATTCATAAGTATTTTATTCTTTTTGAGGCTACTATAAATGGGATTCTTTAAAAAATGTCCTTTTTGGATTGTTCATCATTATGTATAGAAACACAATTGATTTTTATGTGTTGATTTTGTATCCTGCAACTTTGCTGACTTTGTTTATTACTTTTAATATTTTCTGTGAAATCATTAGAGTTTTCTACATATGGGATTATGTCATCTACAAACATAATTTTGCTTCTTGTTTTCAAATTTGGACACCTTTTATTTCTTTCTCTTGCCTATTCTGGCTAGAATTTCTAACAATATGTTGATGTTGAATAGAAGCGGTGAAAGTGGCCAACTTGGTCTTATTCCTTATCATGGAGGAAAAGCTTTTAGTATTTTACCATTGAGTATGCTGTTAGCTGTGTAAGCAGACAGTTTTTTTTTTTTTTTTAAAGGAGCTTAAAAAGAGGTAGGATTGTGAATCCTGGGACTTATTTCAAATTTTGTCCTCTATATATCTAGCACCTAGCACAGTGTCTGGCGTGTAGTAATTACTGAGTGAATGGATATGTTTTTAAAAATGGTAGTTTCTCAAAACTGAATGAGCTAAAGTGCTTCTAAATGGAGGGGCAATCTGGTATTCGTGAGGATGGGAAGGAATGGAGAGTGATGAAAAGGGAGACAAGAGTCATTGGGTTGCCCACTGACAAGGTGTTGCTTCTTCATTGTGGGCAACAAAGTCACTTTACCCTTTGCTTGGATAGCCTGCTTAATTCTGGTTATTTTCTCCCTTCTGTATCAGCACTTAACAACTAGAAGAAAATAACATATGTTGCATCTCTTTGTGTTTATGACTACTGAATTAATAACTTACAGCCCATTGCATAAAAGGAAAATGAGCAAAATGCTGTAAATTATAGATGGAAGTTATTAATGTGAATAGAGTGTACAATGTATGCCTCACTGTGCACAGCTTTGAACTAATGTGACTGATTTAAAGGACTCGAGTCTGGCTTCATTTTAATGTGGAATGGATGGACAGCATTGAGTCACCACCATTTCATTAGCAAGGCTATGTTCTTCCATGGGACCTTGGCCCCTCAACTCCAAGTAGATAAAAATTCTTATTACCTATAGTCCTAGAATGGGAAAATCAAAAGATTTTTATTTAATGTGTTGGCATTTCTATTCGTGTGCACTTTTAACAAGCAAGTTCTGAAAATGAACTAACATGGCCTCTCTTTTCTCCTTTAACAAGGTCATGCATCTGAGTTACAGATTTAAAAAATATGTTCATTAAATGCAGAGCTTGTTGATAACTTTGAGAAGCAGCAGGATGTAGTGGAAAGAACAGGCTCTTTTGTCTCAGTGAGAAGATTTCCTGGCTGCAAATAATTGAAACTCTATCGCTTGTGCCAAACAGGACTTTAGAAGACCAAAAATGTATTCTCAGGATACAAGGCTATCTTACAGGCTCAGGAGGGTCTGAGGCCACTCAGTCTAAGTTTCTAGGGCAACGTGGTCTCATCTCTGCTTTCCCTCCCACACCTGCTCCTTTCTTGTCTCTCAGCAGACTGGCCGTCTCTGCTCCCGTGCACACAACCAAGCATAGCTGCCTGGCTCTGGCTTTTTATCCCTGCCAGTTCAAGGGCCAGCAGAGGTTGTCTGGCATCTCTGATTTCCAGATTCCTGGAAGAGAGGATCTGGTTATCTCATCTTGAGTCAGATGACCATGGCTGATTTGTTCATTTATTAATTCAGGAAGTCTTTATGAGTTTCAGGAAACGTTATAGGCACTGGGATTCATCTTATCCACATGGAGCATGTGTGTGTGTGTGTGTGTGTGAGAGAGAGAATCCACATGGAGTGTGTGTGTGTGTGTGTGTGTGTGTGTGAAAGAGGCGGGGGGGGACTCTGAAAGCTTATTCTTTAGGCTTGGTTAAGGGTTGTAATTTTCAGAGGAAAGCATGTATGGGCTTGGAACTTGGATAGACCTAGACTCAGATCCTGGTTCCCCCCCTTACAGCTGTGTGTGATCCTTGGGCATGTTAAATTACCTCTGTCAGCCCCAAGTTTTGAATCAGCAAAATGGGAGTAGTCCTTTATAGGGTAGTTATAAAGATTAAGGTGAAGTGGTGCCTGCAAAGCCAGGATTGTAGTGTCTGCCACATGTAATCAGAGCTCTGCCACTTGGAGCAAGTTATTAAACCTGTATGAATCTGTTTCCTCATCTCTAAAATGCGAAAGAATATTTGGCTACCTCACATGCGTATTATAACGATTAAACCATGGTAAGTATACCAGGGTGCCAGGAATTTGTACATAATGGATACTCAGCGTGATCGCTGCTCTTCTTATTCTTATTATGAGTCACATTTTTTTCTCTTCTAGTTCCCATTTGGCCGACGCTTGCCTTGTGACATCTACTGGCATGGAGTTTCATTTCATGACAATGACATATTCTCCGGTCAAGTGAACAAGTTTCCAGGTATCTGCTATTATTGTCGACATTTGAAAATGTTTCTAGGGCCAAGTCCTAGGCACACTCTTCTACAAAAACATGACAATTATTTTTGAGACCAAATTTGAGGACTCTTAATTGGGAATTGCTGTGTTCCCCAGCCACTAGGGGTTTAAGGATTGGAGACAGGCTTTTAAAGAATCAAAGACAGGCTTTCTTGGTCTAAAGTCCACTGGTGGAAGAATACGGTTTTCACTTTGTGGGTTATACATATAATATGGGGTTCTAATGAGAGGACTATATTCTGAAAATGAAAAAAATGGAACAATTTACTCTTGCAGGAAATAAAAGTACCAGAATTCTAGGAACATGTCATAGAAATGGGGTATCAACTTCCCTTTTCTTTAAGTATTATATTTGGAGGTGCCATTTTTAAAACCAAATATATCAGTCTCCATACTAAGTACTATAGGCTGCAGATAGCCTCTGCCTTTTGCCTAATGACATCATCTCAGCAAGACTTACCCTATAAGGAGAAATCTTAGTGCCAGAAAAGCATCATAGCCAGCACTAAGATATCCCCCTCACTCCACTGCCAACTTCCTAATACAATTTTTTTGTTTTGCATTTTAATGTCTACCACTTTTTTGAGACAGAGTCTTGCTCTGTCACCCAAGCTGGAGAGCAGCAGTGCAATCTTGGCTCACTGCAACCTCTGCCTCCCAGGTTCAAGCAATTCGTCTGCCTCAGCCTCCCGAGTAGCTGAGATTACAGCCCTGTACCACCACACCTGGCTAATTTTGTATTTTTAGTAGAGACAGGGTTTCACCATGTCATGTTGGCCAGGCTGGTCTCGAACCCCTGACCTCAAGTGATCCACCTGTCTCGGCCTCCCAAAGTGCTGGGATTACAAGTGTGAGCCACTGTGCCCAGTGTCTTCATTATTTTTGATGGCTGAATGAAGAGGGTATTTAAGATGGTAGGACAGCTTAGGGAGAAGGAGCATTGGATTAAGCTGGGTATGATACAGTCAGAGGGTCTTCCACTTATTTTTTAAAATGTTAATATATTACCCAGACCGTATTACAATGCCATAATAAATAATTTTTAAAAAGAACATCACCCTGAATCCCATTCCTCATTTAACAAAACAGCAATGGGAATATTTCCATATTTCCTTCCAATGTTGACTCATCCTTTTTGCATGGTTGCAGTCATAGTGTAATTGCCTAAATATAAGGTGTTTTCTCTTAGCATTTTATAAGTTTTACCTGTTTTAAAGAGAGAAACAATTTACTCTTTTTCCTTGACCTTCTATCCCGTGTCTTTAAGGAAATGTTGCAGAAAACCCAATAGCCATATGTTATACACTGGTTAGTAGTTACGCCACATCCACTAGGGGTTTCCACCTAAGCATGCAGTCTTACAAGGTCACTACCATAGGCCACGCTTGGCTCAGATTCACTTAGAAGGATACAGGGGAGGAAACACAGCTTGCCGGCCAGTCAGTGTCAAGCATTTCCCTTCAGTGGAGTATGTGCAAGAGTTCCAGGGACTAGTCTTTGGCTCAAGTGAAAGCTCAGGTGCAAAAGGACAAGATTCACATTGGTGGAAGTGAGTCTTTCTTGGTTTAGATGCCCCACAGGAGTCAGTATCTCTTAGAATTGCTCCGTAGTATGGATTCTAAGGTCCCAGCAAGGGTCATATTAAGTTACAGGAATCATCTCACTCAGAAAAGCCTAGAGTTATGGTTTTCTACTAGATACTTATGCAATTTACCAATCAGGGATCATTTTAACCAGATGTCTAGTCATTCAGCTAACATTCTACCTTCATTGTTTTCTAGGGGAACAGAGATAGAAAGTTAACCCAAGGTCAAATTTATCCTTAGAGAAGGAGAAAGGGTTTTGTTTCAGAACAAGAATGATTCTTGCAGCCAGAATTCCTGCACAACAGTTTAATGAGATAGCTGTTATTTTCTGTGTCTTGCTGTTCAGAAAAGGATGCTTTCTGATGCCACTTAAAGGACTTATTAGGATATTGGGAGGATACAATTTGGAAGAGAAAACACTTTGAATGAGGACAGAGTTTCTAAGACATGAATCATCAAATGAGGCTTCATTTACACGTTCCCCATTCGCTCCTGCCTCATCTAGTGGCTGGGGGTAGGAAAGAAGTAGTTAGAGATTTCCATTTGGAATACAAATTAGAAATATAGAACGAAGTACCCCCAAAGGATGAGTTTCATTATAGGTGATGAAAGGATATTTATTCCAAAGAAGCAGGTTTGCCCCATCTCATATTCTACATGCCAGTGATTGGAACATAGACATTTCCACTTTACTAACAGAAATTAATTAGTTCTAATGACAAAGCAGGCTCCCAAACCTCTAGGCAGAGGAACAGTGTTGCCTCACCCTCTGCCCCATGAAAGGTAGTAATCCTCAGCAGAGGGGTGATTCTAGAACAGTCTGTCCTCTGACACCAGTTTGTGTCCAAGCTTATCTTCTGTCTCTCATATATCCCGTTATTCTAAAATGCGTTTCCTATGCATTGTATATTACTTAGGGTAAGTTCTAGTGGATATCCCAGGCAAGTATAAACACTTTTATTTGCTGAGTAAACTGAAAATGTTTGGATACTCACATATGGAAGTGATTAATTTTGTTTGTGTCAGCACACTAGATTTTAGTCACTTTTCTATGGACAATTTCCTGGTTCAAAATACATTATTATGGGCTGGGCATGGTGGCTCATAACTGTAATCCCAGCACTTTGGGAGGCCGAGACAGCTGATCACAAGGTTAGGAGATCGAGACCATCCTGGCCAACATGGTGAAACCCTGTCTCTTCTGAAATACAAAAAATTAGCCTGGCATGGTGGCATGCATCTATAGTCCCAACTACTTGGGAGGCTGAGGCAGGGGAATCACTTGAACCTGGGAGGCGGAGGTTATAGTGAGCTGAGATCGCACCACTGCACTCCAGCCTGGTGACAGAACAAGACTCCATCTCAAAAAAAAAAAAAAAAAAACCACATTATTACATTTTAGCTGATGAATTAAGACTTTTCTACTTTAGAAAGTAGGCATATCTAATATCTACTTTCTTTAGACATCTCTAAATCAGACAAATCAGATTAGACATAGCAGATTTAGCTTTAAGAAAGTCCAAAACTGTCCATTCTCAGCTTCCGAGCAGGTCTTTTGCTGAGTTTCAGGGTCTGAGATGTATGGGATCACGTGGCAGGTGGTACCTGAGAGCCCACCTGAGGAGGGGCTTTCTGCTGGAGAGGGAGGGAGCTTCAGTGAGGAACCTGTGGGGACAGCCATCTGTCAAGCATTGGTCAAAGACAGAGAAAGGCATGTAAAGAGAGAAGAAAAATACAACCAAAGAGCTATGCTGGAGGAAGCTGGAATGCTATGGGGATCTGGAGCAAGGGCAGGCAACCAAACCCAGATTTGCCCAGGGAGCAGCAGGGTGAGAGAGCCTAGAGAAGAGGACTGGCATGGAAAATGAGCCTCCAGGGTAGATGGGCCCGATCCCCATGCCAAACAAGGGAGCAGAGTTGGTGCAAAGACAGAATGCCTTGAGCACATTGCTCATTCAGCAAAGGGCAAGTGGGCCACCATGGTTAGAGGGCATCAGGTGAGCGGGGCAGGGGTGGGGTGATGAGCAGGAACCCAAGTACAGCACTGTTAGAGCCTGAAGGTCATGGGAAGCCACTGAGGATTTTTTTTTTTTTTTTTTTTTTTTTTGAGGCAGTCTCGCTCTGTCACCAGGCTGGAGTGCAGTGGTGCGATCTCGGCTCATTGCAACCTCTGCCTCCCAGGTTCAAGCAATTCTCCTGCCTCAGCCTCCTGAGTAGCTGGGACTACAGGTGCATGCCACCATGCCCAGTTAATTTTTGTATTTTTAGTAGAGATGGGGTTTCACCATGTGGGCCAGGATGCTCTCGATCTCTTGATCTTGTGATCTGCCTGCCTCAGCCTCCAAAGTGCTGGGATTACAGGTATGAGCCACTGCGCCTGGCCACCACTGAGGAATTTTTAAGCCAGATGGTGATGTGGGCCAGCTTACATGTTAGCACGATCAGCCAGAGCGACAATTAGAAACAGGTGAGACAGCTGAGAGAAGAAACAGATGTAGCTAAGAGTCTGCTGCAGCATCCACCTAAGAGATGAATGGATCAGTGGCAATGGGAATAGAGAGAATAGGATGGATCAGAAAGTATTTATTTGTTGTTTGGTGGTTGTAATGTGTTTTTGCCAAGAATTCTTCTTACAAATAATATTTTGATTAAATAGTGCTCCAAGTATAGCTCAGTTTTGTTTTGCTTTGTTTTATGTTAATTGGGTTAAGTAGGGCTGCATGGGCAGGCCTGAGATTTAGCTGTTATGCTCTCGGTTAACTTGAATTGGATGAGACCCACCAGGCCTTGAGACTCCAGTATAGCAAACAGAAGCACCCAGTCCTCAGAAGGAGGGCAGGAGGCAAGCTCTTGGTGTCAGAAGCTCCCACTTGAATTAGGAGGTTTTCCCAATTGATAGGGGAACTGCCCCTGTAGGGACATCTAGGGATAGACCTCACTGAGAAGCCAAGGTGGGCAGTCAACCTCAAAAGGAGCTGTTAGGTGGCAGAACTCCAGACACTGGGCTGAAGCCACAGACAGGAGGACTCCAGCCCTTGCAGGGTGGGCTTGAAAGGAACAGAGGAGAGACTGGGGAGAGGAGGGACATTGGAGAGAACAAGGAAGAGGCCTCAGCTCTGCATTGCTAAAGCAGCCACTCAGGCACCAGGAGCAAAAGATAAGGTCACCAACATTTGGGGATAAGCAATAAAGCATGGGAAAAATGGGTAAAATCCTTCTTATCTGATTGGAATATGAAATCTAGGTGAGACTTTTAGCAGAAGGGAGCTGAGGGTTATATCTTCTATCTCAGATCAGAATTGGTTGTAGAGCCCAGGGAGGGGACACAGGTGACAAGGGGTCAGGTGCTGCACCTGCTTAGGGAAAGGGGACTGGGCCTGAAGTCAGCAGAGCTGGCCATAACCTCCCTTCTCACAGATTTATCTGGGAACTTGTACCCTGGATCAGCTAGAAACCCTGCTCCCCTGACACCTGTCTCTGAGCCACCTCCAGAGGTGGAGATGCCAGCAGCTTCCATGTGGGTTCTAGTGAGGGCCCAGAAACTCTTTCCTTGGTGGCACTGGATAGGAGCACAGCTTAGATATGGAGGAGCAAAGTGGATTGAGAGAGGTCTACACCCATGCCTCTTAGAGACAGGCATTCAGGCAGAGTTGGGGTGAGCTGCCTATGGCCTGCAGGCAGGAAGTGCCTGGCTTCCAGGGGTGCTTCTTAAGTTGGCTATATTCAGTAGAAAACTGTCTGGAGACGAAAAGGTAAACTTGGAAGCACCTATTAGCTGGCGTGGGGCCTGACGATGCACATTACAGAAGGAGCCATTGCCAATATTAAATGAATATTGATTCAGTTTGCTGGACATAGATTTTTCACAAAATTTTTCTGGGGCATCCAGACTGCCCTCACGTACTCACAGCTCTCTAGGTAGTGTGAGCCCATCTGACCTGCTGAGGGATTTCGGAAAGAGAACCTTCCCCTGCCCAACGACCTTAAAGTGCAGCAAATACCACAACGCTGTTTGGTCAACAGGGATCCTCTACGTGGAGTAAGGTGCTATATTACAGTTAGTTATGAAGCCTTTCAGTTCAATATTGTAACTAAAATGTTAGTCCACCTCAAGCAAAAGGATTCCAAAAAAGTTGAAATTTTGTTTGGTTTACCTTGCGGTCAGCTCTAGTGTTTATAATGCAATTCTAATTTTGTAAAGGAATGAAAGGAAATAGCGGTGATTTTCCAGACACCCTTCTTGGGAAGCCCAGAATAGTGTCCTCAGTGAGTTGTCTTGACTATTGAACAGTCCATGTTAGAGCATAGTTTATTAGTGCTTTTTAAGCACCTTTATTTCTTACTTAATCCTTCCCTAGATCCTTCTAAACAACAACTAACACCTGGGCATTAACATCTTGAAGCTGGGATCTTCAGATTTATTGCACTTTTTAATATGCTGACAGAAGAAGAATGTGGTTCTTAAAACTTCTCAGATGTTTACCCTTTGCTGCCTGAACATGGGAGTTTAGAGGAACCTCATTCATTCTGATTGCCCATTTGGAATGTGTGATAATTTGGGCATGCCAAGCTGACATGAAACTTTGTATTTTCTATTAAAAATAGCTTGCTAAGCACATTTCTAGTGTCAGTAATGGAACTGTTTGGTCTTTTTCAGGGCAAAGGCCATTTTTAGCCTCCATTTTTAGCAGTGATATTTGCCTTAAGACATAAGCATAATGGCTGGGCACAGTGGCTCACGTCTGTAACCCCAGCGCTTTGGGAGGCTGAGGCAGGTAGATCACCTAAGGTCAGGAGTTCCAGACCAGCCTGGCCAACATGAGGAAACCCCTTCTCTACTAAAACTATGAAAATTTGCTGGGCATGGTGGTGTGTGCCTGTAATCCCAGCTACTGGGGAGGCTAAGGCAAGAGAATTGCTTGAACTTGGGAGGTGGAGGTTGCAGTGAGCTGAGATCACACCACTGTACTCCAGCCTAGGCAACAAGAGTAAAACTCTGCCTAAAAAAAAAAAAGAAAGAAGGCTGATGCCAGGCACAGTGGCTTCCGCCTGAAATCCCAGCACTTTGGCAGGCCAAGGTGGGTGGGTGGCTTGAGCCTAGAACTTTGAGATCAGCCTAGGCAATAGTGAGACCCTGTCTCTAAAAAAACAAAAAACAATATAAAAATTAGCCAGCTACTCAGGAGGCTGAGGTGGGAGGATCACTTGAGCCTGGGAGGCGAAGGTTGCGGTGAGCTGAGATTATGCCACTGCACTCTAGCCTGTACAGTAGAGCAAGACTCTGTTTCAAAGAAAGAAAGAAAGAGCATGCTAAAATTGATAATAATTTTTACCTATTTGCTTAAAATTTGCTACAATATATAGTACTCAGTTTCTTCTCTTGTCAGAGTTACTAATGATGTTACAAGAAAAAAAATCTACCATTCTTTTAATGTTTTATAACAGTGAGACATTTCAATTCCCTCTGGGCAAATTAATGAGATAGGATCAATGTCAGTGTCAGTCCTTACAACTGAGGAACTCCTACAGATTGCATTTTTCACTTTGAAGTATAAATTATGGTATTCTTTTTATTTCCTGTCCTTCATTCAAGGAGACAGATTTTATGCTGAAAGATGTGCATTTTTCTGTTTCATGCCTTTAATACTCATGAAACAGTAAAAGAAAGAAGCTTAATTAAGCCTCTCATAATGTAACCAGAGTCCACTAGATAATATTCTCTAGGGTACAAGATGGAAGGAATCCCAGAAGCATGTATGGTGGTCCCAAATTAAAGAAGGTATTAAATTTTAAGTGCAAGATATAAATGCTTCCCTATTCATTACCTAAGGGGACGACAAAGAATAGAATAATAAACTAGGTGAAAACGCATTCTTTCAAACTGATGCTTCATTTTTATAAAGAGAAAAGAACACCCGTCTATTACCTCAAGTTTTTCATTAACTCAGTAGTTCTTTCCAAACCATGAGTCACCACTGTGGGGGACAACTCAGACTTTTTAAAAAAATCCTGCCCCTAAAAGAGAATATGTCGGGTGGGTGGTTTTAAAAGTCCCAAATAATGGCTGTTTTATAGCTAGCAGCCCACTGTTGTTAAAACCTCACAGCATCTCTTCTCCCCAGGCATGACGGAGATGGTGCGTAAAATTACTCTGAGCAGAGCAGTGAGAACCATGCAGAATCTCTTTCCTGAGGAGTACAACTTCTACCCTCGCTCATGGATTCTGCCTGACGAGTTCCAGCTCTTTGTTGCTCAGGTAGATGGCACTCCGTCCCCATGACCCCTGAATTATATTATGGTTGCAACTGTGTCCTGGGTCCTGTGTGCTGGGAGCTGGGGCAGGGGGTCCCAGGAAGCCCAGACTGACTAAGGAAGCGTCTTAACAGCACACCATAGGTGTTGGCAGCTATCAAAACAACTTGCATAGTTGAACGAGTAGGGTAACAGGTAGGTAAACTGAAGAAACAGGTCTTGACACAAGGAGACAGGCCTGAGGCTGGTATCAGAGCTGGATCATGGAGTCAGGATGCTGGAAAGCCAGCAAGCTGGAGCCAGAGCAGGTGGTTGGGCAGTGGAACGGGGCCACTGGGGGAATCCTAGAGCCGTGGCCTCCCTGGCTTCCTGTGGTCTGAGACGTGCAAGGTCAGGCTTTGTTTAAAGGCCAGGGAGCAGGTCTGACAAACTCATGGGGAACCCTGTAGGTGTTTTGCTTTAAACTTGTTACAGAATCAATTGTCAAGTGACCCATTCCATCTCGAACCACTATGTTTGAGCATGTAATACACTGGAGTCTTCACTTATGAAGTGGAACCAGTAGGGAAGCGGAACTCAGAATTGCCATTTTTGTTAGCCTTTTAACAGTTTCATTTAGGACCCTTTCAAAGCCCTTGTGTACAAGTTACACAGTCCGTTTCATAACTCTGGGGTACCTGTACAACCAGTGCCTGTCTAGTTGTGATGAGGCTAATACCATTTACTGGTCCTGCTGTGTTCCAGGCTTTGTGCTAGAAGTTTAATATATTTTATTTAATTTTTATTTTTTTGAGACGAAGTTTTCCTCTGTTGCCCAGGCTAGAGTGCCGTGGTGCGATCTTGGCTTACTGCAGCCTTTGTCTCCTGGGTTTAAGAGATTCTCCTGCCTCAGCCTTCTGAGTAGCTGAGACTACAGATGCGCACCACCACACCCAGCTAATTTTTGTTTTGTTTTGTATTTTCAATAGAGACAGGGGTTTCACCATGTTGGCCAGGCTGGGCTCCAACTCCTGACCTCAAGTGATCCACCCACCTTGGCCTCCCAAAGTGCTGGGATTACAGGCATGAGCCACCAACCCAGCCCACATTATTTGTTTTAATCTTCACAGCAATCTTGTGAGGTTGGTTTTACTATTATCCCCATTTTATGGGTGAGGAAACTGAGGCTTTGAATAATTAGGCAACTTGCTTGAGAAGTAAGTTTTAAAACCTAGAGCTATTTCCAAGGCCTTTGCTTTCTATAGTCTATCTTATTGCCTCTGTATTGTTTTGTTTTTAATATTGAATTATAAAACTTGTAATAAAATTATCATTTGCTAAACACAAAAACAGCTTGAAGTGATAATTTTTTAAAAGACATTTTCTGTGAGATGGTGGTCACATGGGTTTATATATATTGCTTAAAATTCATCAAACTATTAACTTAAAATGGGTTCATTTTATTGTATGCAAACTATGTTTCAATAAAGTTAATTTTAAAAGATAACTCTCAGCTGTTCCTCCATAATTACCCTGCAATGTCTCTGTTCTGTGGCTCTGCTCATGCTGTTGTTGCTATGTGGAGCACCTTTCCTTCCCATCTCTACAGCTCTGCAACCAACTACAGTCATGAGTCACTTGACAGGCATACATTCTGAGAAAAGTGTCGCTGGGTGATTTCGTCATGCCTGCACCAGAGAGTGCACTTGCACAGACCTGGACAGTATAGGCTCTTACACAACTAGGCTATACAGTATAGCCTGTTGCTCCTAGGTTACAAGCCTGAGCAGCATGGCACTGGGCTTAATGCTGGTAAGTCTTTTTTGTATCTAAACATAGAAAGGGGAAAATACTGTATAAAGATAAAAAATGGTACACCTATGTAGGACACTTTCCATGAATGGAGCTTGCAGGACTAGAAGTTGCTCTGGGGAAGTCTGTGAGTGGGTGGTGAGGGAATGTGAGGGCCCAGGACATTAGACTACTGTAGACTTCAGAAACACTGGACACTTAAGCTGCACTCAATTTATTTTTTAAAAAATTTATTCAATAAGAAATTAACCTTAGCTTACTGTAACTTTTACTTTCTAAACTTTTTAATTTTAAAAAACTCTTTGACTCTTTTGTAATAACACCTAGCTTAAAACACAAACATACTGTATGGCTTTACAAAAAAATATTTTCTTTCTCTGTATTATTCTGTAAGCCTTTTTCTATGTTTACATTTTAAAATTATTTTTACTTTTACAACTTTTTGTTAAAAAACCAAGGCACAAACACATACGTTCGCCTAGGCCTACCCAGGGTCAGGATCATCAATATCACTGTCTTCCACCTCCACGTCTCATCCCAATGGAAGGTCTCCAGGGGGCAGTAACATGCGTGGAGCTCTCATCTCCTATGTTAACAGTGCTTTCTTCTGGAATACCTCCTGAAGAACCTGCCTGAGGCTCTTCTACAGTTCACTTTTATTTTATTTTTTTAGAAGTAGAAGGAGTACACTCTAAAATAACAATAAAAAGTATACTATAGTAAATACATAAGCCAGTAACAGTAGTTTATTGTCATTATCAACTATGTACTGTGCATAACTGTATTGCTATACTGCACTTTTATACAACTGGCAGCGCAGTAGGTTTGTTTACACCTGCAACACCATGAACATATGAGTAATGCGCCGTGCTACAAATCTGAGATCACGGATTTTTAAATCTTAAAGCAAATTTCCTTCTAGGCACTGCTACAGATCCACCTCAGGAATTTTTGTATATTACATTTTCATTATAATTCAGTTGAAAACGTTCTCTAATTTCCCCTGGGATTTCTCCTCTGCCCTTGGGTTATGTAAAAATGTGTTGTTTACTTTTTAAGTAAACATTTTTTTGGGATTTTCCAAATATTTTTTGTTATTGATTTCTAATTTTGTTGACATCAGAGAGTATATTCTGTATTATCTCAGTTTCTTTAAATTTATTGAGAATTTTCTTATGGCTTATATATTGTCCGTCTTGATGAATGTTTCATGGGCACTTGGAAATAATAAGTATTCTGGAGTTGTTGATGTAGCATCTTATAAGTGTCAATTAGGTCAAGTTGGTGTTGGTGGTATTCACATCATTTTTACTAGTTTACTACCTGCTTGTTCTATCAGTTACTGAGTTAGTTTTGAAATTTCCAGCTTTAATTTTGGATTGTCTGCTTCTCCTTTTAGTCCTGTCAGTGTTTTCGTTACATATTTTGAAGCTCTGTATTAGCTTGATTATTTGACTCCTTTATAAGTAACTTGTCCTGAAGTCTATTTTGTCTGATATTAATTTAGCCCATCCAGTTTTCTTTGGCTTAGTATTTGCGTGGTATATCTCTTACCATTATTTTACTTTTAACCTATCTGCATTTTTAAAGAGTGCTTCTTGTTGACAGCATGTAATTGGGTGTGGTTTTTTATTCAGTTTGACAGTCTCTGCCTTTTAATTTGTGTGTTTAGTCCAGTTAATCTTAATATATAATATTAACTGTTGGATTCAATTCTACCACCTTACTATTTCTTTTCTGTTTATTCTGTTGGATTAATTGAATATTTTTGGTGTTTTATTTTATCTCTTCTTTAGGTTTATTAGCTATACTTCTTTTAAAAATGTTTTTAGCTTTTGTCCTAGCCCTAGTATCTAGGGTTTACAGTGCATCTTTAATTTAGCACATTTGCCTTTAAGTATTACATACTTCAAGAAAAATATTAGCACTTTACAACAGTATAGTTCCATTCCCACCCTCATCCTTTGTGCTATTCTCATCTATTTTGCTTCTAACAATGTTATAAACCACACAATACATTGTTATTATTTTCGCTCTGAAAAGTCAAATATCCTATAAAGAAACTAAAAAATGAGTACATTTGTCTTTTATACTTTAAATACTCAGCCATGTATTTACTATTTCCAGTATTCTTCATTCCTTTGAGTGGCTCTGGGATTCCATTTGATATTATTTTCCTTTGGCCTCAAGAATTTGCTTTAACACATTTCTTGCAGTGCAGGTCTGCTGGTGACAAATTCCCTCAGCTTTTATTTGTCTGAAAATGTCTTTATTTTGCCTTCAGTTTTTAAGCTGCTTTGAAATAATTTAAAACTTAACAAAAAAGTTGCAAAAATAGGACAGAGAGAGCACCCCTAGATTCTTCATCTAGCTTCCTCTAATGTTAACATCTTATACAGTGGCAGGAACTTGGAAATTAACACCAATATAATATTATGAAATAATCTACACTCTTTAGTTGCATTTTGCCTGTTGTCCTACCAATGCCCTTTTTGTGGTACAGGATTCACTCCACAATCCCTCATTGCATTAGTTGTCTTGTCTCCTCAGTCTTCTCAAGATTGTAACAGTTCCCCGATCTGTCTTTGTCTTTTGCAACCTTAAGTCTTTTGAAGAGTACTGGTGATATATAGTTTGGATCTGTGTCCCCACCCAAATCTCATGTTGAATTGTAATTCCCCAGTGTTGAAGGTGGGGCCTGGTGGAGGTGACTGGATCATGGGGACAGATTTCTCCCCTTGGTGCTGCATAGTGATAGAGTTCTCACGAGATCTGGTTGTTTAAAAGTGTGTAGCACTTCCCTTCTCTCTCTCTTGTTCCTGCTCCGGCTAGGAGAGAAAGTAAGAAATGCCTGTTTTCCGTTTGCCTTCTGTAGTAATTGAGCATTTCCTGAGGCCTCCCCAGAAGCCAATCAGGTGCCAGCATTATGCTTCCTGGATAGCCTGTGGAACCATGAACCAATTAAACCTCTTTTCTTTATAAATTACCCCAGTCTCAAGTATTTCTTTATAGCAGTGCTAGAACTGTCTAATACAACAAGCTAGTCTAATACAACAGTCTAATACAACTAGTTAGTTATCTTTCTTTTTTCTTTTTAGAATGAACTTACATTTGGATTTGTCTGATTTTTCTCATGTTAGATTCAGATTAGACAATTTTGGCAAGAATACCATGAAAGTGATGTTGTTAGGTATATGATGTCAAAATGTCTTT